ACCGGTATCTGGGTATGTCACAGAATCTGGGTGTGCATATGGCGGAAGTGAAACAATCCGTTAAGGAGGCCTTTTTAGACGCCTGACTAAGGTGCTTGAAAGCTACCTGTCAGGCGTCAACAAAGTCAGGGCCATTAACGGTTGGGTCATGCCAGTCCTAATGTACACCTTTGGCATACTCAGATGGACTCAGACTGAATTGGACGCCATGGATCGGAAAGTCCGCACAACTTTGACACTCCATAGGATGCACCACCCGAGATCGTCAGTGATGAGGCTGTATATCCCGAGAAAGAGCGGCGATCGTGGGCTGCTCAGTGCGAAAACCCTGCACAACCGCGAGATACACAGACTCCATAATTACTTCCTGGCGAAATCGGAATCCAGTGAGTTGCATAGAGATGTCAATGCATGTGATGTAGGACTAACCCCTCTCTCTTTAGCCACCGAGCAATGGCGAGAACCAGCAGTACTTAGCACCACTGACCGAGAGGCCGTCTGGAGGGAGAAGGAGTTGCACGGTAGGTTCTACAAGGCGCTACACGAGCGTCACGTGGATCCGAGAGCCTCCGTGCAGTGGCTGCGCTTCGGGGACCTCTTTGGGGAAACCGAAGGTTTTGTCTGTGCAATACAGGACCAGGTCATTATGACCCGAAACTACCGGAAGTATATCCTGAAGGATGGGACAGAGGACGTTTGTAGAGCCTGTCACCAGCCCGGTGAGTCACTCAGGAATGTTACTTCCGGTTGTCCTGTACTGGCTAATACCGAGTATTTCACAGATGGTATGTCACAGAATCTGGGTATGCATATGGCGGACGTCCGTGACGAAACAATCCGTGAAGGAGGCCTTTGTGGGCCGCCTGACTAAGTTGCTTAAAAGCTACCTCTCAGGCGTCAACAAAGTGAGGACCATTAACGGTTGGGTCATGCCCGTCCTAATGTACACCTTTGGCATACTCAGATGGACTCAGACCGAATTGGATGCCCTGGATCGGAAAGTCCGCACAACTTTGACACTCCATAGGATGCACCACCCGAGATCGTCAGTGATAAGGCTGTATATCCCGCTGAAGAGCGGCGGTCGTAGGCTGCTCAGTGCGAAAACCCTGCACAACCGCGAGATACTCAGTCTCCCTAATTACTTCCTAGCGAAATCGGAGTCCAGTGAGTTGCATAGAGATGTCAAAGCATGTGATGTAGGACTAACCCCTCTCTCTTTGGCCACCGAGCAATGGCGAGAACCAGCAGTTGCACGGTAGGTTCTACAAGGCGCCACACGAGCGTCACATGGATCCGAGAGCCTCCGTGCATTGGCTGCGCTTCGGGGACCTCTTTGGGGAAACCGAAGGTTTTATCTGTGCAATACAGGACCAGATCATTATGACTCGAAACTACCGGAAATATATCCTGAAGGATGGGACAGAGGACTTTTGTAGAGCCTGTCACCAGCCCGGTGAGTCACTCAGGCATATTACTTCCGGTTGTCCTGTACTGGCTAATACCGAGTATTTGCACAGACATGACCAAGCAGCCAAAATACTCCATCTCGAGCTAGCCTTCAAATACGGCCTCATAGGCGAAAAGGTGCCGTACTATAAGTATGTGCCGGAGCCAGTTCTTGAAAACGACCGCGCTCGATTGTGCTGGGACCGGTCCATCATTACGGACAGGACTGTTCCTGTGAACAAGCCTCATATCGTACTGATGGACTGGGCGGAATCTCGGGTGTTCTTAGTGGATGTCACCGTCCCATTCGATGAAAACCTCGTGAAAGCCGAATCAGATAAAAAACTTAAATATCTGAACCTGGCGCACGAGGTTACCGATATGTGGCGAGTGTCATCCACTGAGATCATCCCAGTCGTAGTGTCAATGAATGGCCTAGTCCCGACTTCTCTTAACGCCTCGCAATCATTGGTTCGTCACGGAGTCCCAACCTCTTCAGAGGGTCTTCTTCAGGGGTCGGGAAGAGTATATTTAAAATAATAATAATAATTTATTTTTCTTCCACAAATGTTTTTAAAAATTACATCAACAAGTGCCAAAGTAAACAATCATGTGGAAGACTGGAGCCAGAAACTAAGCCTAAAATAAGGCTTGATGTTTTCAAGTCACCAGACTTCTCCTCCGATATTGCAATTTTTCTAATTCGCACTTTATTTAAATTGAAATTAACAAATTAATCATTATTGTCATGCAACTCACCAAACAATGTTTTAGTACTTTAATATTTGAAATCATAGGGAGAATATGTATGTATACAAATATATTATTATTTTAGCCAAAACAAAACTATAGTAAATATTATTTTTTATAGTTTAAAAATCAAAAATATGTATGTTGTAATTTATAATAAACATATAAGATAAGTTCAATTTTTCTTATAGCACAACACAATGTGATTCATCTAAAACAGAGTATTTTGTTTATTAAACACAAATAATTTTTACATAAAATATAGCAAATGAGAAAGTTTCTAACCTAAAACAGAGAATCGACAATTAAATGTTCATGCCTTACTCTTCTTACTACTTAACCTTTATGGTCTTCTGCACAATAAATGAATACAAAATTCACAAACTTATCTTGAAACTAAACTTCATCTATAAAATGGCTTCCTCCTATGACACAGACTCATGTCATTCATCTTACGTTTACACACAGACTACTACACTAATCCGCAGGTACTCAAATTAATGTCCATGTCATATTCAACGTCACAAAGCTTATAAACATACTGGGTGGAACAGAACGACCGACACTCCCGAGGTTCCTGGAGAGAACTATTTGTCTTTAATATGATGTAAAAAAAAATATATGTCTAGGTCAAAAAGTTTCGGAAATATTTAATTACAAAGTTTTTGGAAAAAAATGAGTGTTTACAACCCTGACTCAGCTGTTTTGGGGACGTACTAAGGAACAAGTTTTTAATCGGTCATTGACTAGTTATAAACTAGTTTATGTTTTATAAGACCGCTTTCATGCAAATTCTACCAGACAATCACTAAACAAGGCAGTCAAAATGCTTAAATCGATTGACAGACTAACAGCCGGTTTCTGATTTGAAAAAGTAGAACATCTCTACTGCTTATTCTCAATAACCTACGTTTTTTTAATTTCACAAGTCAAATAGTCCTAGTTTTATCAAACTGCTATCAACTGATCATCAAAAAACTAATCGCAAACGAAAACTAAGTAATGTTAGTTAACTGTTTATTAACAATTTCAAATTGACTATCACTAAACGAATCAGTCAAAATGCTGAAATTAATTAATAGACTAACATTTAATAAATCATTGTAAAAAGATTATTCTAATGTTAACTAATTTACATTAAGTTACTACATTATTTCAAATAGTCGGTTTCCAAAAAATTGTAACTAAATGGATCAAATAACACGATCATTTATTAAAGTAGTTAAACTAATACATCATCCATTAACATTAAGTACATTTGTGATAATAATGAACCATTAGCACAAATGTACTTTTTTGTTAAAACACTAAGTAAGGGTTTGGTTACTTATTTAAAATGTATTTAAGAAGAAAATTCAAAAACAATAACAAAATACGAATTCGAAAAATAGATAAACTGAACTCGTCCCTTGTTATCAAATGCAAAGCGAATCGAGCTCCATTCACTCATTCACTCATTCACTCACCGTGCGCGCGACTTTTTTTGTTCTGTCGGCGTCGGCGCCGTTGTTTCATTCACCGCCGGACATTTGCGCGTGAGGCACGTTACTGTATCGCTGCCACCGTACCGCTGCGGAGCGACTTTTTGTCGATTTTTGTTTTGTTCTAGTGCATTTTTAATAAAATTTTTGTTAATAAGATACTACAGTGTTCGTCTTGAGTGTTAAGTTTAGTTTAGTGTAGATTGTGTTTAGTTTTGTGTGAAATGTAATGTGTTTTGCGCGTGCATGCACTGGCGTAAAAGAGCGTGCTTAGCTGTCTTCAGAGAAGAATTGGACATTTTCAGCATCGACTATCATTAAGATATCGGTAAATAATTAAATCAATGTATTTCGCGGTCCGTTGTTATCTGCGCACAATCGATATTGCGCATGCGCGTTATAGGGCTCTCGACACTTAGAAATTTAAAATTTTTACTCCATTTTTTCACCTCCTCTATTTTGAAATATTTGTCAAATAAAATTAACGTTTGCATATAACCTAACTTGAAACTTTCGGCTGTGTCGGTCATTTTGTTGCTCCCTGTATATTAATTAATACATACTAAATACATAAAAATGTATGATACTCGTTCATTAAATATCAGACAGCATCACCCATACACATTGCTTAGATCTTACTGTGGTAGCTAAGGTATTGGTTTTATGGAATTTAGGCACGAGACAATGGAATCACCCTGAAATCAGCGTGCCACCAAGTCGGCTGCAAACTCGTCAAACTTTACATTATACTTTATTTCAAAAGATTTTCAGTTTCCTCGTATGTTAATGCATTTAACCAGGTAGAGAAAGTCTTTTTGCAATTTATGTTATTTTTGTAACTAATCTGCAATATTTTATTAATTTTATTATAAAGACGTCCATCTTGGTAGCAAAAGAATCTTTTAATAAATTTGGTGTTAAAAAAGTTAGTTTTACATACAGCGTATTGTTTACAAAGTCTAACAGTTGAGATGTCGTTGTTTTAATATCTATCAATTTATGCTGTTTAAGTATTATTGTTAAAATATACAGTTGCCTTACGGTGAGCATGCCAGCCTCCTTATATAGTGTCAACGTCGGATATAAAATAGGCCTGAAAAAACTAACTTTAAGAACGTAACGTTGAGCTCTTTCCAATTCTATTAGGTTAGTTTTAGCGGCGCCTCCCCAGGTTTAGATGCAGTATGGAAGTGAAGTGTGTTTGCTGCGTTGCCCGTTGCGCCACTCATGTCAATAATTTGGTGTGGAAGCTTATTATCCGTTACAAGGTACAGTTTGATTTTCATTATTACATAGCCGTTACAAACAGTAACTGAATAAATGCCGAAAGTACATCGTAGTCCACCGGGCCCTTCCAAAGAATCAACTATGCAATCTACCTCCGAACCCGAGTTAGCGTCAACAAAAATAAACTATGGCACACCTGAGACCACACGAAATAAACGTCTGCGTTTAAATAATTCACCTATTGACAGCCAATCTCAATCTAAACTGGATGATTTCAAAGAAGAACTAATGCAAATACTCTCGTCTTGGAAACATCAACAGGATCAAACTTTAAAAAACTGGAAATCTGAGTTGGATACTACATTGTCTACACTTGTGAAAGACGTTAATGATTTAAAAAATCAGTGCAAAGAAATACGGCAAACGAACGGCGACATAATAAAAAGTATTGAATTTAATGGTAAATGTTATGAAGATAAATGTTATAATGGTAAATGTTTGCGAACCGATGGCGTAGTTTTCGACTTTCACAAGTGCTCTGTAAAAGCCTAAACTGAATAAATAAATTTTGATTTGATTTGAAGACTTAAATACGAAAGCAACTTCTCTAGAGAACGATTGTAAGAAGTTAGAAGAAAGTATTATCAGCGTCCAGAGTCAAACTCGAGAATTACAACATCAAATCAAAAAATATCACTTAGATTTAAATTACCAACAGCAACGTGACCGTTCTATGAACCTAGAAATAATCGTAATCCCCGAAAGGGCTAGTGAAGATTTAACAAAAATTGTTTTAAATATCGCCAAATACACTAATGTGCAGATGACAGTCCAGGATATAGAACGTGTAACCCGTGTGAAGCCATTTACTCAAGCGCGAGGTATACCGAAACCAATAATTGTTAAGCTTCGATCACAGTTACTACGTGATACAGTATTATCTGGCATCCGTACTAAGAAAGGAATATCTACAAACGATATTAATATTCAGGGCGAATCTAGGCGTATATATATTAATGAACATTTAACCCATTTCAACAAACTGCTTTATAAAGAAACGAGAAATAAAATCAAGCTCGCCAAATATAAATTCCTTTGGATTCGTGATGGTCGAATTTTCGTTCGGAAAGATGAGAAATCCAATGATCTGGAGAAGATAAAATGACGCCGGAACATATTACCTCAACGCTACAAGCATAGCTTTATCTCCGCTAATCTTACAAGTGTTTTACCTTATTCGAAAGTAGGCATATCTGTTGTTAAGAAAATTGTTTCAACTCAGTAGGGTAATATTGGGCATTCTGTCCCCCACTCGTTCGTGTCGGCGTTTTGCCGCCACTCACTCATGGAATGACAGTATGCCCAATATTATATATAGATATTACATTCATTTGATGACGGTTTTTTGACGAAAATCCATAAAATGTTTCTGATTACTCGCACTTTATATAAATAGTCAAATTTGTACAAATTGACTCACTTTATCTAGGACACCCGAAAGAATTGCTTACTACTATGAAATTTATAAAACGATCTGAAACGTTGCAATTGGATAGAATTTGTTCAGATGCTGAGACAGTTATTTCTCGACATGGAAACTTGCTTCCTAATTCAGTTCGGTGTTTAGTTTGCGGTCCATCAAACTGTGGAAAAACAAATTTAATAATAGGTCTTCTGTTGCATGAAAATGGATTACATTTTAAGAATGTATATTTATACTCAAAAACACTGTATCAAACTAAGTACATTTATTTAGAGAACGTCTTTAAATTGCTACCTAGTGTTACGTTTGCAAAATACAGTGATAATGAATTGATTCTCAGTCCACATGATGCTAAGCCCCATTCTGTAATAATTTTTGATGATGTTGCTTGTGAGAATAAAACTAATATGCGAGATTATTTCGCTATGGGCAGACATAAATTTATTGATTGTTTTTACTTAAACCAAACATATAGTAAAATACCAAAACAACTAGTAAGAGACCATGCAAACCTTATAATATTATTCAAACAAGACGATATAAATTTACGACATGTATATGATGGGCACATGGGAAATGTGTTCAAAAATTTGGAAAGATACATACAACTTTTTAGTCATTAATAAAGATTGTGCAAAAAATGACGAGTTGCTACAGAATGAACTTCGACACCTTCGTTACTTTCGATGAGTAACCAAATAAAGTTACTTTCAATCTAGAACACAATTCATTTAAGAAGTAAAGCTATAAGATACAACACGTTGCATAACTCAAGCTACTGTTCTTTCAAAATGGAAATGGAATTAAAAGCTGAGGTTGTTCGAGCTGCAGAAGGTGTTAAAAAGAAACTGAAGGAAATGCGTATCAGGGAATCTTATCAAGAAAACATGTTAAATACAGTTTTTCAACCCATCACTAAACCACTTCATCAAATAATTCATCATAACACAAATCCTTCAAAATCTAACAAATCTAAAGTCCCTGAAGTACCTAAAGATGACAATTTGAATACAGACTCTGAGAATACATATTTTAAACGTAAATATTCCATATCCGAGTCCCATGATAGCGATCCTGATGACGATATTGATGAAAACAGTTTCGATGGTCAAAATAAAAATAATACAAGCGATACATCGTTTGCAACAGTCGAGTCCGTCCACAGTCCTAACCGAGATGCTTTGTCTTGGTCATTATCTTCGGAAGTGTTTGAGGATGTGCCATTTGGTGTCAGAAGAGAACGAGGTAAACTATTGATGGGTAACTCACGTGTGGAAGTTCACGAGGAGAATATATCCGTAGCAGGTCGAGTATACAAGAAAACTCCTGGATTATATGAACTTTTGTTCAAGAGAGTTCCTGAATTAAATTTGGTTACAGAAAAAGATTCGCAAGTATATAAAGCATTGTTGTTAGAAACAAATGCTCATCGAAGAGATTATGATCCAAATAAACCAATAAAAACTAATCGAGGTCGAAAGTATTTGCAAATTATAAAACCGCTGTTTAAGTTACGCAAACCGTCAACATCTTCTGTTTCTTCTAGAACAGAACAATTAAGTGAAGGAGAAGGGTTAAGACTTAAGAAAAAATTTAAGAAATATACTGATTATATTTATTGGGATGATCCTAATGAGTTAGTTGAAAGATTAAAATTACTGATAGCTTCTAAAGAAGCAGGAAATACTGGAGTAGAAAATGAAATAATTTCTATTATTGAAGAATTACGTGAAAACGGAATTATAAAATAGTTGTCATAGTTTATTGTTTTTTATTTACACACTCTCCCTTGATTGCATCGGATCTCTAATTAATAAAAATGAATATTGATAAATTCGGGCATCATGTCCACAAAAGACTACGTTTGTCTGAACTGTTAGATTTTAGGGAAAACTCTTTAATGAAATCAGAAAGTGGGTGTTTAAATTTACAATAATCTAGATTAACTGGAGTCAACACACCTTTGGAAAAGGATGACGCTGTCAATAAACAATACGTAGATAAAAAAATTGCAACCTTGTGCACGAAGCATGAACTGCATGTTTGGATAGAATCAATAAAAGCTGATATCACCAACAAAATTAAACAGTTTGAAGAGAAGTTTAACACTAAGAGCTTGAATGAACAGAATGTAACCAACAGAAAAAATGGTCAAGCTCCAAGTAGTAAAAGAAATCCATAGGTCTGCACGTAAAAACTTTATTCGAAGATCTGTTGTACTAAAAGGCATTAATGATCTATGGCAAGCAGATCTAATTGATTTTAAATCTTTAAAAAAATATAACAGTTGTTACACATATATTTTAATTGTTATTGATTGCTTTAGCAAATATGCATGGGGTATTCCCTTAAAGTCAAAATCGAGAAAATGTGTGGTTAATGCGTTTAAGAGAATTCTCAAAACAAGTGGTCAATCTCCTGTTCACTTACAAACTGATATGGGAACAGAATTTTACAATGAATCATTTAAAGAACTAGTGCAGTCACTAAATATAAAGCACTATTCGACTTACTCTACAAAAAAAGCATCTATTGTTGAAAGATTGATAAGAACATTAAAGAACAAATTGCATGTATCTTTTAGCTATAACGGTAGTTATAAATGGGTGGGAAAGACTTTAGAAGATGTTTTGAATACTTATAATAATAGCAAGCATAGTGTCACTAAACATAAACCAGTTAATGTAAATTCGATAAATGAAACAAAGGTTAAGAATAACATCCAAAAGTTTTTTAACAGACGAATTAAATCACAAAGGAATAAATTTCAAATAGGTGATTTTGTTAGAATAAGCAAATACAAAAGCAGTTTTGAAAAGGGTTATACACCGAATTGGTCAACAGAATTATTTATTATTAAATCGGTCAATAAAACTGATCCTGTTACATATAATTTACAAGACCAAAGGAGTCAACCAATATTAGGAACGTTTTACCAGGAAGAGTTACAAAAAACTAATCATCCTGATGTTTATTTAATAGAAAAAGTAATTAAAAAGAAGGGTAATAAATTGTTCGTTAATGGTTAGGTCTCCTAATAGTGAAAACAGTTGGATTGTCGCAGTTCAATCACTATATAATATAAGAGTTAAATAGCATTTATTGTAATCATTGCATATCCAGATGCAAGGAGGAGGACTAGTCAACAGTATAATTGACAGTTTACCGTTTGAACTACATTTACCAGGATATAACTATTGTGGACCAGGGACCAAGTTAAAAGAAAGATTAGCGAGAGGTGATAAAGGAGTCAATGAATTAGACGAAGCCTGCAAATTTCATGATATTGCGTACATAAACACCGATTCAAACAGTAGACATAAAGCAGACTTGGAACTACTCAGCATGGCTAAGAGACGATTGCATTCGAAAGACGCTGGAAGAGGTGAAAAACTAGCGTCATGGTTAGTTAGTAAAGTTATGAAAGCTAAAGTAAAAAGTGGTTCTGGAGTAAACAAAATTAAGACAATTGTATCGAAAATTCAATCTCAAATAAAAAAAATTAAACCAAAGAGCCATACAGCTGCAATTAAGTATGCATATGAAGCTGCTAAAAAATGCTTTCCCAAAAATTGTCATTTTCGTCTACCGCGAATAATACCGATTCCAAAGACAGGAGGAATATTACCTCTGATACCCATTTTTGCGGGATTGTCTGCTCTAGGTGCATTAGCTGGAGGTGCGGCAGGTGTTGCGAAAACGGTAAATGAATACAAAGCTGCACAACAAAATTTAAAAGAATCAGAACGTCACAATAAAACCATGGAAGCTATTGCATTGGGAAAAGGTCTTTACATCAAACCGTATAAAAAAGGCAGTGGTTTATTTATAAGAAGTTCAAAAAACTAATTTCGCAGTTACCTAATAAAGCTTTATCTAATATTGAGTTAATGAAATATTCTACAAATATACCCTATTTTCGAGGAGTTTATATGAAAGATAGATTACCATCTAAGTCAAAACCAATAGAATGTGGAATCGTTAATTTAGATAATCATAATAACAATGGAACGCATTGGGTAGCTTATGCAATAATAAACAGTTATTGTGAATATTTTGATAGTTTTGGTGATTTAAAACCACCAAAAGAGTTATTGAAATATTTCGGTCATCGTGATATTTATTACAATTATAATCGATATCAAAAATATAATAGCGTTAATTGTGGACATTTATGTTTAAAATTTTTGCACAACTTTTGGGATCAAGTTAGTATATATTGACAGACTTGATTTTTATATATACATTTTCACGATGTCTTTCACATTGTCTATAACTGGCAAAAGTTCCATATTAACCACGAACTACTCACCAACTTTAAATCTGAATGGTGATTATGAATGTGCATTATTGCATTTCTCGACTTTTAATTCTATACCGAATATCACTAAAGCTAATAACAAATTTCACTATGGTACTAATGAAGTGGTTGAGATTCCTGAAGGAGCTTATGAACTACAAGATATTTACGATTTTTTAAAGTTTGAAGTAAAAGATTGTGATTTAAAGTTATATTGCAATAACAATACACTAAAGACAACTATATTCTGTACTAAAGATATTCATTTTGAAAAACACGATTCTTTCGGAGAATTGCTGGGTTATAGTAAGGAAGTCCTAAAA